CACAGCACGCTGCACCCCGGGGCACCGTCCCCTGTGGCTGCCTGTGGCTCTGCTGACCCTGAGGCCTCCGGGTAAGCCAGGCAGGCCTGCAGAATCACTCCACAGCCAAATTTGAACTTGTATGGCTTAATTTGCCTGCCCGTTAACCCCTCCGCCGCGGTGTGCCTTCGCACCGTTGCTCCTGTGTCATGTTCTGAAATTGGAGAAACCCAGGATCGCTTTTTTGGCTGTTACTTCATGTGAGTCATCCCGATTGCCCCTGTTAAAACTCTCCAAAGGAGGTCACTGTGACCATTTAACAAAAAGCAATTCACAAAATACCCTCTCCTGTACTGCTTTCAATCTCCCTGGCTCTGGGGAGCCCCTTGAGCCCATGGGCCTCGTCAGTGCTGGGGCTCATAAAGGAGAATTAAATGCTACTGGTCTGACCATGCTGCAGCAAAGTATCCCCCAGTACAGGCAGAAGAGGACCAGCACAGACCCCATGTGTTAGTTCTGGCGGGTGCTTTGCTATCCTTCTCCCCTTCCAAAAGGAGAAGCCTGGGCAGCCGACTTTGGGGTTGGGGAGAGCAGCCACAATCACGGCTGGCAGAATTAAAACAAACTTTAAGGGACAGGGGGTCTAAGAGACGACTCTTACCTCCATCACCCGGTGGCATCTGTCAAATGCTGTCCCAGCGGTGCAATTGCCCACAGGAGCAGAAGAAAGAAAGGCACAGTGAGAAGAGATGATAGCAGCCTGCTGCAATCACAGATCAATAGTGTCAAGGGCAGGATGGAGCTCATTTAAAAATAAATGCTTTGTGCCGGCTTGTCCTGCACTTAAGTCCAATTTTCTGGTAATTGAGGGTTGAATTCCCCTCAAGGACTGTCTGTCCGTTGCAATGACCAAGAGGTGAAAGGCTCTGCAGAGGTGTGATAAGGAAGGCCAGACTGAGGTATTAATCTCCTGACTCAAGACTGGAGTTGCACCACGCTTGCTGGGCTCTCCTGGAGACCAGGCCAACCCCAGGACCACTCCACGTCTTCCTTTGTCTCTTCTGGCTGTGGAAATGCGGAGCTGAGGAGGGACAGCACCTGAGCAAGTGGCATAGCCTCACCCCATCGCTTTCCCTCTCGTCTTGGCTCTGGAGCCGCTCCAGGCCTTTCCCTTCCAAATGGATGTTTCTTGGTATTGCCTGCAAATATCCTTCCTGTGCCTTCCACGTGCTCAGGCACAACTGAAGTGCTCTTGTTGTCTAGATGTTGTTTTTCTCTTGCATGATCCAAGTTTTCCACTCATTAGTGTTTTTCACTCTGGGGCAAATTGGAGAAAACAGATACCCTTGAGAGATCCCTCCAAATGGCCGCCTCCTCGGGCATCTCTCAGTGTAATAAATCAAAACTACCCTTTCTTATTTGTGTTCACCATCTGACCTGGTAGCACTAAAGGGAATTTCATTTGCATATATATAAATATAACAGTGATTTCTTAGATTGATTTAGGCGTAATTTGTTTTCCTTCCATGACATTTTCTATTAAAAATCCTGGCTAGAATAACCCAGATCTGGCCCTTTCACAGCGTGGAGCTCCTGAGCCCTTACGTGAGATGTTATTTCTGTTTTTGCCTGCAGGATGGTACCAAAGTAGTAGGAAAATGTGGCGGTTACTGTGGGAAATGTACTCCATCATCTGGAACAGGCCTCGATGTTCAGGTGTTATAGCAATGGTGAGTTCCCAGCTGCTTCTGCACGACGGGAAATCTTCCCAAAAACGTCCTGCAGGAGCAGATCAGGCCACGCTTGCAAAAGCACTCATGGATCGAGTGCATCGGTGACAGCCACCCACCCCCTGCAGCATCTGTGGAGCAATGGGATCCAGTGCTCCCAGTCCTCGCTTCCCCCAGGAACGCTTCTGTCAACTGGAAACGCGCTTCCCACCTGGCGGGCACCCGCTTTGGCTCCGCTCTTGTGCTGGTGTCTCTGGTTACAGGTTTCCGGGGCGAAGCTGATGATCTCTGACGTGCACCTTGTCTGTATTTTCCAGGTTCTCGGAGAACAGCCAGCAGAGATGAGACGGATGAAGGATAGCGATGCAATACCTCTGCCTTCCACTTTTTTATCTGTTTATGTGTGTATATAGATCGCATATTCTTAATGTACAGTATAATATTTATGTTTGGAATTATTTATTTTGATTTAATATTTTTGTACGTAAAATCATTATATTAAGGCTGCTTTTACTATTTTTATTTTTTATTGTTAAATCCTGCAGTCAAACCACTGCATTTTGCGTACTCTACATTATATGTAGCATTATGACAAGTGATACTTTATTGTCACTGTATTCAGTTGTTTACTTACCTCCATCACCCGGTGGCATCTGTCAAATGCTGTCCCAGCGGTGCAATTGCCCACAGGAGCAGAAGAAAGAAAGGCACAGTGAGAAGAGATGATAGCAGCCTGCTGCAATCACAGATCAATAGTGTCAAGGGCAGGATGGAGCTCATTTAAAAATAAATGCTTTGTGCCGGCTTGTCCTGCACTTAAGTCCAATTTTCTGGTAATTGAGGGTTGAATTCCCCTCAAGGACTGTCTGTCCGTTGCAATGACCAAGAGGTGAAAGGCTCTGCAGAGGTGTGATAAGGAAGGCCAGACTGAGGTATTAATCTCCTGACTCAAGACTGGAGTTGCACCACGCTTGCTGGGCTCTCCTGGAGACCAGGCCAACCCCAGGACCACTCCACGTCTTCCTTTGTCTCTTCTGGCTGTGGAAATGCAGAGCTGAGGAGGGACGGCACCTGAGCAAGTGGCATAGCCTCACCCCATCGCTTTCCCTCTCGTCTTGGCTCTGGAGCCGCTCCAGGCCTTTCCCTTCCAAATGGATGTTTCTTGGTATTGCCTGCAAATATCCTTCCTGTGCCTTCCACGTGCTCAGGCACAACTGAAGTGCTCTTGTTGTCTAGATGTTGTTTTTCTCTTGCATGATCCAAGTTTTCCACTCATTAGTGTTTTTCACTCTGGGGCAAATTGGAGAAAACAGATACCCTTGAGAGATCCCTCCAAATGGCCTTCTCCTCGGGTATCTCTCAGTGTAATAAATCAAAACTACCCTTTCTTATTTGTGTTCACCATCTGACCTGGTAGCACTAAAGGGAATTTCATTTGCATATATATAAATATAACAGTGATTTCTTAGATTGATTTAGGCGTAATTTGTTTTCCTTCCATGACATTTTCTATTAAAAATCCTGGCTAGAATAACCCAGATCTGGCCCTTTCACAGCGTGGAGCTCCTGAGCCCTTACGTGAGATGTTATTTCTGTTTTTGCCTGCAGGATGGTACCAAAGTAGTAGGAAAATGTGGCGGTTACTGTGGGAAATGTACTCCATCATCTGGAACAGGCCTCGATGTTCAGGTGTTATAGCAATGGTGAGTTCCCAGCTGCTTCTGCACGACGGGAAATCTTCCCAAAAACGTCCTGCAGGAGCAGATCAGGCCACGCTTGCAAAAGCACTCATGGATCGAGTGCATCGGTGACAGCCACCCACCCCCTGCAGCATCTGTGGAGCAATGGGATCCAGTGCTCCCACCCAGGAACGCTTGTGGGTATAACGCTGTCAACTGGAAACGCGCTTCCCAGCTGGTGGGCACCCGCTTTGGCTCCGCTCTTGTGCTGGTGTCTCTGGTTACAGGTTTCCGGGGCGAAGCTGATGATCTCTGACGTGCACCTTGTCTGTATTTTCCAGGTTCTCTGAGAACAGCCAGCAGAGATGAGACGGATGAAGGATAGCGATGCAATACCTCTGCCTTCCACTTGGGCACCCGCTTTGGCTCCGCTCTTGTGCTGGTGTCTCTGGTTACAGGTTTCCGGGGCGAAGCTGATGATCTCTGACGTGCACCTTGTCTGTATTTTCCAGGTTCTCTGAGAACAGCCAGCAGAGATGAGACGGATGAAGGATAGCGATGCAATACCTCTGCCTTCCACTTTTTTATCTGTTTATGTGTGTATATAGATCGCATATTCTTAATGTACAGTATAATATTTATGTTTGGAATTATTTATTTTGATTTAATATTTTTGTACGTAAAATCATTATATTAAGGCTGCTTTTACTATTTTTATTTTTTATTGTTAAATCCTGCAGTCAAACCACTGCATTTTGCGTACTCTACATTATATGTAGCATTATGACAAGTGATACTTTATTGTCACTGTATTCAGTTGTTTACTTTCAAGCAGTAATTTTCCTTCAGTTACGGGCTGCTTTGGCCCTCTACGGTGCTACACAATCTGCATAGGGGTATTTTTGGCATTCGGTCTGTCTTTATGTAAGGAAAATAGACAAGATGTACTTAAATTTTATTTTTAGGGATTAGGCCGACAGCACTCGAGGAAAACATGACAATGAATACAGTGCTAGTTGCATTAGCAATCTTTATCTTTTAGGTATGTTTTAAATTTCACATGACCTCTGTGGCCAGTGCTAAAAGCACTGGTTTGGTGCTAACATGATATTTATTAATGCTCTGTAGTTTTAGTTCATCCAGTGCCTTTATCAGTGAAAAAAAAGGAAGAAAGCAGAAAAAATTGTCAGGCGATCCAAATAAACTAAGAACTACCCCAGGTCTAGGAAAATTCCTGCAGATGGATCTTCAGCTCGAGCCCCTTTTTCACAGGGCTCCGAAGTGAACTCGCTTTTTAAAAAAACATATATTTGTCTCCTAATTGCATGTGCCACTGTGCTTCCTGGCTCCATCTGGAAGCGGGGTATTAACTCATCCCAGGCAGGCTGATCAGGCCATATGTTTCCCTGGGCTGTGTGCTGAGAAGTGCTGCAGTTTCTTACGGACGTTGTCACAAAATCCTAACGTGAAGCCGAAAGCATCCCTGCCGCGTTATCTCCCCACCGGGCTGGTGGGGACCGTGGGGTCTGCGGCAGGGGATGGGGGACACGAAGCCCAGCACCACCGCCCC